TTTTTTTTTGTTGTTATATTGCAATGTTTCTATATTGCAATATTCTGTTCGCTATCAAATGTTCATTCAAAAATATTTTAACAGATTTATTATTTTTTCATTATTCAGTGGACATCTTTGGAAGTGTGGTTCGTCAATAAGGAATGACAGCATTAATTGATCGTGTATTGTAACGTTAACATAAATGTTTAGCAATGTCAACCAGCATCGTTACGTCTTATTGATAATGAGCAGTTCCGAATGGGTCAAGCATTGAAGGTTGATGAGAAATCCATCTGGAAAAGTATTTCGTCAATGATCGCGAAATTATATCTGACGAAGTGGAAGAATTTCAATGTAATTTCTTTTCATTTCACATCCATTCACATTGTCTTTTTGATTAAAATTGTCCTTGATTTCATTTTATTTTGATATTTACAAATGATCTGTTCGTATTTTTACTTGATAATGATCTTTATTCTCTGGTTCCTGTGCATAAAACGAGAAAGTCTCTCGCCTAATGATATTGATGATACAGTGATATCAGCGATATTGATGGTAATAAGAGAGAGGCATAAGCTCGTAGTGATTTGGATTTGGTGATTAATAATAAAAGTGTTATATTGGAATTGTTCTTATTATATTCGAACAAATTCAGTTGAATGAAATGGTAGCTGCAACAGTAGTGTACGAAGGAACTGCCGAGGAAGTGGCATCACAGGAGAAGCAACTAACCGCAATCGCTGAGAAGTATTATGGCATACCGGGTGGTGAGGAGAACGGAAAATATGGCTATAGACTTACGTTCGCAATTGCGTATTTGAGGGTATTGATTTGACGATTTATTTGATTATTATTTGTAATAATATTAAAGAAAGTAGTTAAAATGAGTTCTTGAAGGATCTTGCAATGGAATATGGTGTTATTGGCGAATCGTTTGAAACATCGGTAAGTTGGGACAAAGTAAAGGACTTGTGTGCGAATGTTAAAGAAGTTATTCGACGAGTGGCTAAACTCAATGGTGTCGAGTCTCCGATTGCCAGTTGCAGGTAATATTTTGTTTTCTAATCACAGTTTATTCATTTTTCATGCTTATTGTCAATGTTTAGTTAATATTCCCTTCAAAATTTTCGATTCGTTGCTGGATTAGTTTTTTGCAAAGATTTATTTTCTGAATGTTTTCCATTAGAATATAGATCATGGTTACTCTAGAAGGAAATCAGCGCGTATTTGTTATTGTAAGTATCATTCAGGCGTTGAGATGACACTTTGAATTACAGTTGAAGCAAGATAAAAACGATATCACTGATAAGAGTATTGATGGTAATCATAATACTAGTAATGATGATAAATATGCATTCAAAATTATAAGCAATCAATGCAAATCGATTTTAGAGTGACACAAGTCTACGATGTAGGCGCATGTGTTTATTTTTATCTGGCCTTCCTTTATCGTGGTCTCGAGAATCCGCTTGAAGTTTATGACAAAATTGAGGTGAGTCTGAATTCGTTCTTATTTATCGATTTATTGTATTTAGCAGATTGTATAGTAGCTTTGTTCAGGTGGCGGCTCGTGATGAGATTATAGCTTGTGGTGGTAGTATATCACATCATCACGGTGTTGGTAAAATACGTAAACAATGGTTCCCACAAACAGTTGGAACCGTTGGTGTGTCCGTGTTGAGAGCACTCAAAAATGAACTCGATCCTAAGGTGAGTGGCTGTTCTTGTGATATGTTATTTATACCCTTTAATTTCATTCCTCAAACAATGAACTTGCTATTCTAATGATAACTATTGCTATTGTATTTCCAAAAAGGTGACAATGCATCGTCGTTGTTTTCAGAATGTGTTT